GGCCGCCGCGTTTGGGGGGTCCCCCCCATGTGGGGGGTCCCTGGCTGGCAGAGGGTGATGGGGAAGGGCAGCGAGGTAGGGGATCTGGGGGAGATGGAGGCTGAGGAACAGACTCTGGGACAGTCAGAGCCACCACTGAGTGATGGACACGCACGCCGGGACGCAAAAATGCACACAGACAAGACAAGGACAGAGGTATTCAGACACAGAGATGCAGAGACTGCATGCAGCGGTGCCGAGACAGACACAGAGATGGAAATGGTGGCACAGAGACAGAGAGACACAGAGATGAAGAGACTGAGCCAGAGACACGGATAGATGCAGGTGCTAGGGCAGAGACTCAGAGAGAGAGAGACAGAGTAATGGAGATAGAGACTGGAGCTGATAGGGACAGTAGGACAGAGACTCAGAAAGAGAGAGGGACACAAGGTCCTTAGACGCTGAGATTGAGAGACAGAAAGTGGAGGGATGGAGACAATGAGGAGGAGGAGGAGGGGAAGCTGGGGAGGGCCGCTCAGGGGCAGTAGAGACTAGAAGGGAGACCAGAGATGAGAGACAAGGACACGCAGAGACCCGGGGAGACCCCTGGAGGAGACTGGGCAGAGACAGAGACTCAGAGAGCAATAGAGACACCAAGAGATAGAGAGACAGAGGGAGAGGGAGAGAGAGAAGGCAGGGCAAGCGGCCACACTGGGGAGGCCTGAGGACTCTGAGGTGGGGACACCAGGGTGGGCACACACAGGTAGGGGACAGTGAAGTGGGGACACAGAGGCAGGGACCGTGAGGTGCGACAGTGTGGACAGTGAGGCAGGGACACATGGTGTGGACAGTGAGGTGGGAATGCTGGGGTGGTCCAGAGAGCCAGAGGCCGGAAGAACCTGGACCCTCACCATGAAGGTGGAGACAGGGGACCAAGGAGAGACAAGGGCGCTTAGAAGTGGGGCCAGGGGCGCCTGGCTCCATCCCCGAGTCTCAGTTCTCTCCTACGTCCAGTGGGCACACAGCTGGCCTCCCAGTGTGAGAGAGGGAGGGTGGGAGACAGACACCATGGAGAGGGCAGCAGAGACAGAGGGGAGGCAAGACCCCTGGGAGAGAGAGGGTCTGTGGGACAAGACAAAGATGGGGGAGAAGGGGAGAGGGACCCCGTCACGGAGTCCCAGGGCAGGGAATCGGGGGAGGTGTCCAGGCAAGATGGAGGACCTGCACAGATCTGGGGGACCAGTGTTAACCCCCATGTTAACAGTACAGAAACCATATGACAGAGGGAGGGGCTGAGAGGATCAGGAGGTTGAACAGCCTCTCAGGGGCTCCTTGCAGGCCCCCAACCCACCCCTGCTCTACACTGCTGAGCTTGTCAGGGGGGCTTTGGGGACAATCAGTGGCTGGAGTCACTCCCCCCCCCCATTGGGGGCAAAGGCTCTGGTCTCCAGGGAGGTGAGGTCACAGCCCCTCACAGTGGGACATGACTTAATCGTCTCAGGTGAGAGCTCCTTCCAGTCTGCTTTGGTCACCCCCCTCCCAGGGGCCCCCTCGCCCACCCGTCAAGACCCAGGCCTCCTGACCACTGGGTCTCCGCCCCTTAGGGGGCCTGTTTCCGGCTGAGTCAGCGTGGGGGGCCCCAGGCTGC